CGGCGGCGACGATTGCGTTCGATGTCGCGTCGGCCTCCAACGCGGCTGGGCCGAAACAGCGCTGAAACCTCAGCGCGGGGATTCCTGCTTGCTAGTAGGCGGCAGGATGGACGGTTAGTCACTGCGGCGGAAGACCGGTCGGCGGCTTGAATTCGCCGGTCACGGACACGCCGTTTGCCTGGGCGCCGGGAAATTGCGCGGTTGACACCGGCGGCTGGTGATTGAACGCGGGCGCGTAGCACTGCGGGAAGTAGAGCTCCGGTTTGACGACCGTGGGCGTGAGGGTACCGCGGGGTACGGGAACCGGGCCCAGGCCCGCGGGCGTGCCGGGCGGCTTCGTGTCACCGTTCGAGTTCCGACGCACCTTGGCCGCGTGCGGATTCATGTGGTTGTCAATGTGCTTCTTCACCTCGGGCTCGGTGGCGAAGCGCCGCCTGCAATTGGGCATCGGGCAGCAGAACGGCCGGTCGCCCTGATGGGTGCGCGTGTGCTGATCCAGAATTGCCTTCTGACGGAAGTCTTTACCACACTGCTGACATTTGTACGGCTTCTCGCCCGTGTGGATGCGCAGATGCTGATTCAGGATCGTGCGCTGACGGAAGTTGCGCCCGCAGTACACACAGCCGTACGGCTTCTCGTTCGTGTGGATGCGCAAGTGTTGCGTGAGATGGGACTGCTGACGGAACCTCTTGCCGCACTCCGGACACGGATACGGTCGCGACTCGATGTGTATACATCCGTGTTGCAGCAGCGTAGACTTCTGCTTGAACTCCTTCTGGCAGATCGGACAGCGCACGTACAACGGCATGCCGGCCGAGCGGCCGTGCTGTATCACATCAGGTAGACAGCTCTTCGTGCCGCCCTGCTGCTTGATGTACTGCAGGGCGCCGAAGCTGCCCGGACCGCCCGCGCCAAAGACTGTGTGATTGCCGCCCTTCGGATCCTTGAAGTAAGCGGGGTACTGGATGGAGTTTGCGTCTGGCGCCGGACTGAACGCGCCCGACTGCGTGTCCGTGTCGCCGAACGTTGACGCTACTTCCTCTTTACCTTCCTCGGGCGGAAAGGGAACGTCCTGCGGCCAGAGCGTCGGCGTCATCCCGTTCTTGAAGATGAGGTGCGGGCTCACGTCTGTAATGAAAGTACGGTCCACGTTCATCGGCGGTATTCCACGGCGGACGGAATGAAAAGGAAGAACGTTAGTCCGGTTTAATGAGACGGAGAGAGATTAAAACTACATGTCAATTGTAACACGAATCAAGCGTGGCGTTAAGAAATCGCTCAAATTCGAGCGAAAACACCCAGGCAACACAAACGTCCGAGAAAAACGTCTAAAGAAAGATCCTGATTTATTCCGCGGCATTTACACGTCTTTTGGACTTTTGTGCTGTTTGGGAAGCTTATAAATTCAATTTATCGCGCGATCCCCAGTGAAAGTTATTAGCAGTTAGCAGCGATAGGTGCACGAGAAGAAACGCAGTAGCCGCTGGCAAGCCGATGTCCACCTTAACGCGAAAAACCAAAGTTATTAAAAGGCAGGCGGATTAGACTAGATGACGAGTTGGATCGTTTAGGATCGGAAAGGAAAAGGAGGGGTGGCGGGGACTGCTCTATCTCACAGCTCACCAGCGTTTTCGCGTCCAGCTCAACCGTTCTTACCCGCCGGTTGGCCTTAGCGGCAACGAGGCCGATGATACCGGCAAATTGTGTCTGATAAATCGTCGCTATATTAGTTTCCGAGAACTTTCAAAGAAAAACACGAGTTTTAGTAGGCTGGTGAGGGATATAGGTGATATAGACCAGTGGTGAATTTATCCCGTTTTTATTTAAAGACACACACATCGTTCTGTCAATTTACAATTATTTGATTTTCCGAGCTCTAAATCCGCCACTGGTAAATCAAACACTGGACAGGTAAGAAAATCGAGATGAATCGTTAGTATGCGGGTTATTGTACCGCCGGCGGTAATAAACGTGGTTATTATAATGACGATGATGATGATGATGCCGATGGTGACGGTGGCGACGGCGGTTGCGATAGTAATGAGTTAGAACCGGTGGGTGGGTCAGTGTGTGGTTGTGATGGACGCCCTCTGGGGAGTCTGGGAGGCAGAGAGAAATGCTCGCCTTGGTGTGTGCGGACGTGCTGATTCAGGATCGCCTTCTGACGGAAGTGTTTTCCGCACTCCGGACATTGGTATGGCTTCTCACCCGAGTGGATGCGCAGATGCTGGTTGAGGATGGCACGCTGCCGGAACGTGCGCTCGCAGTAAACGCAAGCGTACGGCTTCTCGTTAGCGTGTATGCGTAGGTGCTGCGTGAGGTGGGATTGTTGTCGAAACCGCTTGCCGCATTCCGGACACCCGTACGGCCGGCTATCCGTGTGGATCCGCTCGTGCTGCAGCAGAGTCGACTTCTGTTTAAAGTCTTTGCCGCAGGTCAAACACTTGAACAGGCGCAGATCGCTGTTGCCGGACTTGGACGATTTGCCGCTCTGCTGCACGATGTCGGGCAGCCCGGTTGCCATGTTGGGCGCGTTCGGACTGGCGTACTGATGCGCGTCCAAGCCGGGCCCACCATCGCCCTGACCGAGGGATGTCAGCATTACACCGGGCTGTTTGAGATAATGCAGCGCAGAAAAGCCGCCAGGAGTGAGCATGTGAGGTGGCACGGACGGCGAAGGATGCGGCCGGGCTTCTTTGAAGTAGTGTTGCGGATACTGCTGCAGCTCCCCAGCGCCAGGAAAACAATCGCTGCGGTCCACCTCTGCGTGAGGAGTTAATTGTTGCTGCGGCGAGTGATCTTGTTGCGTTTGTTGTTGCTGCTGCTGTTGTGGAGGCTGCTGCTGTTGAACTTGCTGCTGCTGCTGCTGCTGCTGCTGCTGCTGTTGTTGCTGTTGCTGCTGCTGGACCTGCTGCTGCGTTTGCTGCTGCTGTTGTTGTTGTTGGGACGTTGCCTGACTCGATTGTATATCATCGTCCGGTGGAGTCAAGGACTGAGGCTCGGGAGGCGCCGAAGGATACGGTGAGGGCACAGGCGATGCTAAGGAGGGCGGGGGACCGTTTTCACTACCCTCGACAGGAGGACCACAGGCCTGCTGTGGGCTTCCTGACGAAGAGGAACCCTGTTGTTGCTGCTGTTGTTGTTGCTGTTGCTGAGGGTACAGTCCGCCGTCCTGGAGAGATCCCGGCCCCGGGCCCCACTGACCCTGGGGTCTCTCCATATTATCTTTGTACAATACGTAGGGCGCGCCAGTATCTGAAAGTAGATAAAGCAAAAGAAGGTTTGCGGTTAGATACACGTTGACATAAAAGCGTTATTGTGTTAAAAAAACATAAAAACACGAGATAGTCTGCATTTTTTTATCATTATGTCTACATTTCAAATACCGTGTACACTTGATTTATGCTAATGTAATTTAAATAGAGTAATTCAATCTGGATAGTGTACTCGTGAAATAAGATGAAATTCTGCAGGTGTATTTTTTGACCGCTCTTGATCAAGGATGAAATTACTCGGAATTGGGTCAAGAAGCGCAGATCTTTAGAATCTTCGATAACAGAATGCGCACTCTAGAATATCGATTCGTGCCATGTTCCCAGTCACGCATGGTTAGACATGTCCGGTTCACGCTTCACAAGTTCAATCGCTGTTATGCAGGTCGAATCTACAAACTGCGTATATTATACTGATACTTTGAATAATAATTTAAAGATATCAGAATCAGGCACGCGGCACAGAATCGCGTGCCTCATTCGTTGGATTCCTGAATCCTTGAAAATTTTTGTCCTTGGACGGTCAAATAAGAAACAGGATCATATCGCATGTTCGTTTCAATCCATTCTTCCTCTTTCGCACCCATTAATTTGTTTAAATACGTGGATATAACAAAGGTGCAGCTATAATTAATCAAAAATAAGAGATGAACGCTGAAATAAAAGCAATTATATCGCGCACAAAGTTTTTAATTAAACTTTGCCATTATTTAAGACGTGTGTGTCTTGCCCAATCAGTATTATCGCGCGCAATTACATCCCGAGGAATAAGATAGCTTAAGGCGTTTTACGATTACGGAATTTACGTTACGCAATAATCGCGAGGCACTCCTCCTCTTATCAAACTAATTATATCGGACTTCATTTTCTCTTATTTGTCGAATGGATTCGTCATTCGATTTGCATTTCGCGCGGCCCGTTTAAAGATTTTTACTTCTCTTGCATTAAATGACTCATCCGATATAATGTTGTTTCTCGTGAAAAATGGGACAAACATTAATTTATTAGAAATGAAAAAAATTAATACGAAAGCGTAAAACTTAAATACATGTACAAAAAAAAACGAAATTAAATCTAATTAAGTCGAAATGATATATGACGAATGATTAATGCTATATATTGACGGATAACAATAAAAAATCTATGGAATCTCAAAAATCCAGGAATATACTGGTTGGCGAAATTCACCGAGATAAAAATTTGTGCCGAAGAAAAAACAAGAGAAGTCATCGCGATCTGATATATGCCGTTCGTTTGCACGTGAATCAGTCGTATTTATAGCTGATCATTTTTATTTTACCGCATTTATATATCTCCATTACATAACCGTTGTTTGTTGAGATAATGCCGCGTGCAATCGCTCGCTCGCGCGTCAAGATTAGTTTATTGCGATTGCAAGTTTATTCCGTCGCGTAATCACATTTAACTATTCCGGGAATCTCCAGAGCAATAATGTTATAATGTCCCGTTATCATGGTTAAGAGAAGAGTGACCGGTCGAAAAGTGACGCTAATGCGATATTCGCGCTCGAAGAGAGTGTCATTAATATAATTCTGCATATAATTTCCGTGATTTTCTCGCGATTCGGCGCTTTTAAAAGCCATGTCGTTTTGCAACATTGTTTTCCGTTTCTCCGACCGAACGTGGGGAAAATTAAAACGCTCCTTGATACGAAATCTCGATAGCATGAAAATATTTAAGCGATTGTACGATTTGGACAGCAGTCGTGTACATATATCGACGTAAATATTTATCAATATCTGCGGTCCGGCTTTCCTTCTTCCGCCCTATCGACATATATCGTATACAATCCATCCCAATATTAAAAAAGTATTACGTTATTACATTCATGATAACGTTTGTTAATCTATTATCGAGGACCGGCTTATTTCGAGAAATTTGTCAAGAGTCGTGCCGCCAAGAAAACGCTACGTCTCATTAAACTCAATCTCCGTCCAGCAACACTTAATTACAACCAGAATTCCCGAGTAATCGTCCAAATTTCCTTCGCACGTCGGAAGTCGTTAGCTATATAGCGCAAAAACTAAATGTGTGTCGCGCAAAAAGAAGCGCAAGCTATGATTGCACTTTATATGGCAGCTGACAGCCAGGATAAAAATATCAAAAATTTAATCGATAGAATAAAACGAAAGAAGTTTCATTCGTTTGTTCCAACATAAGAATCTTGGAGGATATCATAATTAATATAAATGCAATTTTTTTTAACAATTAAATTTTGATGGTCATCGAAATGATGATGACAATAGTAGTAATAATCGGTAATTACCGTCGTAATAATGATAATCCATTCAGCCGATCATTCAATTTCAAGTGGGAGATTAATACTTATAAAAAGTACACAAAAGAAACAAAGAGAGAAATTAGTTTCTTCTTCATTACGAGCATCTTTTCCGGTGTCGAATCGTTCAAGAAGTAGACGAGTGTTCTTAATGATAAATTGTATTAAAGAAATCTCCGGATTATTCTTTCCCTCGCATTCGCGTGAATAAACATTGGTAAGCGTTGATACGAACTCCACAAGTTTTACCGAGCAGTCCGACCGAGCTTTAATGAGAGACGGATCCACTTATAACTTTACCAACTAAGCAGTCGCAGTCGTAAGATTTCGTCGTTGATTTTGACGCGCGTTTCACAAATCACGTAGACAGGTGGCTAGCGGTCATTTGACACAATAGTTTCATTTTTGAGAGAATCATATTTACAAATAAATCATCAACAGTATCACAAAATGATATCAGAAAAATTATAATGTACATTATATTCACTTTCATTTTTTCTTATCTTTGGGAGTTCCTTTGAACGATCAATGAGTTTAAGATTTCAATATTAGTAGCATAAATACTCAAGTGTAAGTAATGGCTTAAACTCATGTTCGATCATAATATCATAAATATTTAATAACACGTAGGTTTACCCGCGATGTTCTGTTATACAATATAAGTATTGATGTTTTTAATATGTATACACAAGCGGGGAGCAAACTGCAAATTTGGCACATTGCTATTTTGTACTAACTTAGATTATTTCAGGAAATTCGACGTAAACTTGTCGCAAAAATAAATTTCTTTTTAGATCTGTATTGAATTATTCGGTCCGACAGACAATGCTTGTTTGACAGAGTTGCATTGTTGTATAAATAGTTAGAATAAGAAACACGTATGTCATGGAACTGACGAATGACATTTTGTTCATCTCGCACAACCGGTTTATCAATCAAGTTTTTAGTAGAACGAATTATAAACTTCAACACCCTATTTCAACGATTTTTACCAATTCTTTTAATTAGCGCCCCAATTACTGTGTTTATTAACGTAATAAATAAATCACTCGGACGAAAAATTTCCATTAATTACATTCGCTTAATACTCCCTAAAAAATGATAATGTATAAAAATACTTTTTTTTTTTCTCTTAGCATATTTAAAGACATGCTCAGCATAAGCTAATATTTCTTTTAGCATCAATATCTTACTTCGAGTTAGAATAAGAATATCAAGAGACACTTGAATAGACTCGTAACACTTGTATCAACAAAAATCGGAAAGAAATCTTGGTAGAAATTACACGAGCGTACCGACAAAAGGCGAAAGAAAATGAAGACGTAATCGCATAGTTATATTAAGACGATATATACGCGAAGAGATCGCAGATGAAAATAGAAAGACTTCGCAGAGAGAATAATAATTCAAACAGATCAATCTCTTGATAAAGTTGGCGTCAATCTTTTTTTAATCGAAAAAATGTCAATATATTTGGGGAAATATCGGCGATGCTCGATGAAAGGTTCAGTTATGCAAACTCCTGAGGTGAAATTCTTTCGCGCGATCTAATATTATTTCGTGTTTGACGAACGTGTCCCTCGCCAGTGTCGCTGATATCATTGATTTTTCGGCAACAAGCATAGGATTGCACTCCGGCGGGCGTCTTTACGATTTGTTTTGGCTGCGAGAAACGCATAAAGCGAAGCCGGGAGAACTATAGCTAACATCGATAGAGTAGGAAGCGAAAAAGAGGAGAGAAAGAGAGAGATGGCCCGTGGCTGCACATGCGCGCTTTTTTCACGTCGGGACCAGCATTTTTAAAGATTTTTCCTGCCGCGGCGGCTCTCTCGCAGATTTAAGTCGCCAGGTCGAACTCGTCGAATCTCGAATGGTGCGGGAATCGAATGGTGTGACTACTACGGGCAAACAATCGAAAAACTCGCTTCGCGTCACGGGGGTTCGCGAAACCGGTATAATTTCGATGAGGTCAATTCCCTACCTATGCCGCAAACAAAAGTGCGAAATGCGTCAATTTTCTTGCGTCAATCGTCGCGATGTTATTGTCGCCAATGTATAAAAAATATACAAATTATTTTCGTTATTTCTGCAGTATTAAAATCTCGAATGAGTTTTAACGGTTGCTTTATAATTATATGTCGCGACAATACCAAGTGTCTGATAAACTAGATTCGTGAAAAAAAAAAAAAAAGCGAAAAGCCGTTGAGACGGGATTTGACAATTTTTACGCATGAGTCAATAAGAATTAACATTTAATGATCGTCGATGTTATCATGAGACGAAATAAAACATAACGCCAATCAGTTTTAAGCCGCGTAATCACCAACGTTTTCATGCTATTCTTTGCACACCAAATAATTTATTAAGTACGAATGTTTGCTCGCTCGTTCTCGCTTTCGTTGGAGAATATGCGGCTTTACGCGAATCGACTTCCAATTCTTATTAACAGTGATCTGTTAAGTTAGACGAAAGTAGAAAAGTAAAAGATAAAATTGGATCTTTTTCTTTCTGCACAAAATCGCGAAATAACTGGAGTGTCTTTGATTGGAAAGCGCGGATTTAATTGAGCGAGTGAAAGCGACTTTGTGGACTTAAAGTGAAGGCGCTGTCTCCGTTATGCGTACAATAAAAGAAAATATCGAAGGAGAAAACTCGATTCATAGTGTTAGATCGACGAGTTTTGC